TTTCCCCACACGCTCTGTCCTGGAGGCTGCCCTGCCATGTCACCTCAGTTCTCTACCTGCCCACGCAAGGTGGCTGCCAGCCGCAGGGATCACCCAAGCCCCGATGGCTCTGCAGCATGGGAGCCCTGGGACACATACATGTAAGGATGGTGAGCACCACAGAAGGAAGCAGTGGGCGCCCTGGGGTGCGGGCAGAGCCAGCCTCATGGCTGAGCAGGGGCTGCTTCACCATCCAAGGGGTCCCTGGCACAGGCAGGACGCGCGTGTCCAAGGCTGCTGGCCCATCCCTTACAAGGCTCTGGCCGGCAGCACAGACACCTGTGAGATGCCAGGAGGGACAGGAAGGCTCAGATGGCCAGAGCTGCCTTCTCCCAGCACAAGCAACCTCCAGCACTGTGCAACACCCTGTCCTCTCTCCTGCAATCCCACTTCTCCAGGCTGGGTGATGAGCTCCCATGACCAGATGTCTGCAAACCTGGCAGCCTGAGGAGCGCTCCGCGCAGCCTGATGGATCCTGCCCCATTAGTGAGGAGTGCTGGAATGTGCTGGATGGACTGGGATCCCTCAAAGATGTAAAATACGCCAGCTCTGGGCTGCCTCCCACTCACAGCCTGTGAGAGTCGACATCCCTGACTGAAGCCCCAGAGGTGTTGGCATCCTGCCTGTAATTATCTAAGCCCGCCACCTTCCCCCGTCGGAGAGGAAGCAATAAAACAGGGAAGTGGACAAGCCCAGCTGCTCTAATCAGCCCCGGCAGGATGCACAGACTCAAAGCCAAGCTGGAGGCTATTAGCACCCAGCACTGTGCTTTTGCTCAGCCACACTGGCATTCCCAGGAGAGCCCTTCCCTGGTCCTGCTCTGCACAGACCAAATCCTGCCCTGTGGGTGCAAGGGTTCCTCCAACCTAGGCTGAGGGCAGCTCCTCACTGCCACTGGTCTGGGGATGGATGGGGTTCAGGGAGCCCCTAGGGTCAGTGTCCTGTCCTGCCAGGGATGTCACCACCCAGCTGCCCATGGCCAGGGCAGCAAATGCCTTCCCCAGCCATCCCGCTGTCTGTGCTCTGCTCCCTGGATCCCTCTGCCCAGGCCTCCCTGGGGGCTCCTGCTCCCTTCCCAGCAGGTTCCCAGCCAGCAACAGAGGTGGGACACATCACCACTTTTGGTGGGGTTGTGTGCCCCTCAGCAGGATCAGGGCCAGCCGCTGCCTCTCGCTTGTGCCCGTGCTGATTCTGCCGATCACCCTGCCGTGCCTGCCCACAGCAGGAAGATCATCCGCATGCACAGATGATTCCCAGCTTGTGCTAGAGGACTCTTCAAGCAGCTCCTCTCCTCTGGTTTTGCTGTGCCGACCCTTGCATCCCCTTTCCTGGGGCCTCTTTGAGTTGTTTACTCATCCTACGGTTTCTCCCTACAGGAATTACAACAGCAAGATATTGTGGTGACTGGTATGGTATGAAAACCAAGACAAGACAGACAGATGGACATCTCCTCTAGTCCTTAAAGCCTTCCCTGGTTACTAGGTGTTCCTTATTTGCTGTCAGACTGACAGCTGAGCAGGTCGGTCACAGCCCTGGCCCCATATCAGCTGAAGTGGGGGGACCCTGCAAAGCTCCTGTCCCCTACCAAGTCACTAGAGATGCGAGTCAGGTCCCCTGACCGGCAGGGAGAGGAGGGCTCGCTGCAGG